AAGTTGAATACCCTCAAAAAAAAAAAAAAAAAAAAGAAGCATTTTAAAAAATAAATCAGGTGAAACTTAAAAAAAAAAGGTATTTGTATCAGGGCTGGCAGGCGGCATGGTGGTTAAGGGTACTGGACTCCTACATGGCCAACTGTAGTTCAAGTCCCAGATCTGGCACTTTGCTTTCTCACTGCCTCCCCCAAGCCTTGTTCTGTCCCTCTCTGGTCAAATTAAAATAAATAAATAAAGTTAAATAAAAATAATTTAAAAAATTATTTGTATTAATTATGTGCAAGAACAGCTAGCTGCAAAAAGTAAAGTGAAACCTAACTGTGAGACTTTGCTAGGTAAGCAGTTTCCTTTTAAACAGGGTGTGGTGGTGAGGGGGTAGGGAAGGAAACTCAAGTCTATTGTTTTTAGAATTCTCAAGTTAGACGTTTAGCTCCAGGGTGCCCAAAGCATTGATTTATTTCTAAAACCTTCTTGGAAAGCACACAATACTCTGTGTTTTGGAAGAGTTATGTGTGTGCCTCTGTGTGTGTATATATACATATATATATATATATATATATGTATATATATATATTTTTTCCTTTCTCTTTCTATGTAGTTAATTCTAGTCCTTTGTGAACCTCAAATTCTTTAACTATGGGCTACTTTCAAACAAACCTTGTTTCTGAAGAGAAAGAGGAAACAGTCAGTTTTTCCCAATTGAAAACATGTAGTGTTTTCTCCTTGCACTAGATTGTGGGTTCAAGACCCCAACAGATCATTCTGGAAGCTGATGAAGTAATCTGCAGAACACCATCAAAACAGTTGACAACGTAGCCTTTCATATTTTGAAAGACAGAAAACAAAAAGAGGGAAAAAGAGAAGTACACCGACCATTCAAGCTATCTTTAGGTCTTGAACCTCCTAAGTTCCTCTCCCCCAGTCTCCAACCTAGGCAAGCAGGACTCCACTCCACAGCTGCAAAAAAATTACTGAACTTGCAAATCGTGACCCCCCCAAAAAAAACCACCTTCCTATTGAACACCTCAGAAGATAAGGTAGGGGTCATGCTCCACACCCAACTGCACAAAGATGAGTAGATTTCAAATGGATGCATACTTGAACAAGAACCAGAAAAGTGCAATAGTTTGAAACTCTCGACCTATACACTTCCCCAGTGATGTGGCCATGCTGGGGAATGCTGGTCAACTGAACAACCCAGTGTTGGGATTTAGGACAGGAAACTGCTTTTAAAAAGCAAAACACGAGTTACAGTCAAAGTTTAGATGAAAGTGTCTGCTCTCGTTCCCTGTCTCGGGTTATTGCTGTTTACATTCCTTTGTCCAGGCTACATCTTCATAAGCGTTCTAGGAGGTATATATTGACCACTTGGTTTTCTGGTCAAGACAGAATCTGGTCATGGATCCTGACAACAGACTCATCTCTTTTCTGTTTTCTTCCATGACTATATCTACTGCCTGATCTTGACTTATGAGCAAAACTGGGAACCAGCAGTTAGCGTAATGGCTATGTCGCTGGACTCCCACGTAGTCGACCGTGGTTCGCATCCCGGACCCGGTGGCTTAAAACTCACGCCGGGCACGTGTGCGTACGTGCCCAAGATCCCGAGAGGAGAATGGAGGAGAAGGGATTGCGGCGTGACCATCCCCCCTGGGGGATGATTTCTCGCTTTCTGTCTCTATGTCTCTCTCTGTCTGTCTGGCAAGCGCACGCACCCTATAGCGAAAAAACCTCCCCCCCCCCAAAAAAAAGGACTTGTGAGCAAAACCTACAGAAATAGGAAAATAAGTGTTTTGTGGTTTATCTAGAAACAATGCAGAATATGTTGCTGCTATTTTTGGTGAAGAAAGTCAATTTTGTATAGTTTATTTCAATCTAAATAAAATGTGATTTTTTAAAAAGGGAAAACATGGGGCCAACAGGTGGCATGGTGGTTAAGGGCATTGGACTCCCACATGGCTGACCATGGTTTGAATCCTGGACCTGGTCGCTTGCTTTCTCACTTTCCCTCTCTTTTTCTCTCACACTCTGTCCCTCTCTGGTATGGGCAAATTAAAATAAATAAAATAAAGTTAAATAAAAATAATTCTTTAAAAAAAAGCAAAATATGATCGCTACCAAGCATTGCAAGTATAGACATTTACTAAACCCTACTGGGGTGCTATGGTAGGCGGTGGCAATTCAGAGATTTAACAAAACAATTTCTCTTCCCTTTAGGAAAACCCCAAGTGCAAGAGGAAACAGAAACTTAAAAGTGCCCGAGCACTCTCATGTGGCAAGAGTTCAAGGAGCTGCGGTTAGCACAGAGGGGTCTTCTGAGCCTGGGGAGCATGAATGACAGCAAGACTGCAACCAAGGTCTGGGGAAAATCTCCTAACTAAAAAAAGGGACCCAGGTCTCACCTCTCCAGTGCTGGGGTAGCAAGCTCCTGAAGAAAACCCACCTGAGTAAGAGCCAAAGCTACATTGCTCCACCCACATTCACAGCTCCTAGAGGCTGTCCCCTGGTGACTCCCCGTCCCACAGATGTTCCCGTCCCAGATGTTCCCGTGCTTTCTTCCCTCTCAGGGGATCACTCCTGGGCGCCTTTCCCCTGCCCAGACTCGGAGGGAGCTCTTCGTCTCAGGGCTTCCTGGCTCGGTGCTCTGTCTCAGGTCCACCCCTCTGGGGGCCCCCTGCCCTGTCTCAGGTCCACCCCTCTGGGGGCCCCCTGCCCCGTCTCAGGTCCACCCCTCTGGGGGCCCCCTGCCCCGTCTCAGGTCCACCCCTCTGGGGGCCCCCTGCCCCGTCTCAGGTCCACCCCTCTGGGGGCCCCCTGCCCCGTCTCAGGTCCACCCCTCTGGGGGCCCCCTGCCCCGTCTCAGGTCCACCCCTCTGGGGGCCCCCTGCCCCGTCTCAGGTCCACCCCTCTGGGGGCCCCCTGCCCCGTCTCAGGGCCACCCCCCTGGGGGCCCCCCGC